AAAAAAAAATAGTTAATGTTTGCAGACACCAGCTAAAAATAGATGTTAAAGTGGCTTACCTCCGGAGGTGGGTTCACAGGTGAATTTAAGAGCCAAGCAGAATAATGTTAACTTAGAAGGAAAACAGCTGTTGTTTTAAGAAACAAGGAGGACTCTCTCTCTTTTTTTTTTAATTCCGAATGAATAATTGACCTTGGGTCTCCTGCTGAGAGCTGGCGCCTTACTTCAAGGCTATTTGTAACATAGCAACCACAGTTTTAGTAGGCAAAAAGAGTTTAACAAACTTTGTATTAACTCTTTAATTGCCAGAAAGAGAGGATCTTCAATGCAAGTGTGTTATTTGTACTACAGTGTCAAAATGTAATGAGGAAGTACAAAAGGGCCATGTCATAAGGCCTTAATTGACTTCCAGTAGGAGTCAATTAACACAGCATGCTGCTAAACAGACTAACATTCCAGATCAACACTGTACAGTAAAGTTCAACTCCCACCCTGACAGCGATATTGAAGGCAGTGGGAGACGTAGAGGATATGAGAGAAAAGGTAAAAAGCTAGTAATTAGATGATTTGGTGGGTGAGGCAGGGCACAGAGTTGGTCTTTTACCAGGGGCTGAGAGATTCTCAGTGGCTGCCTCCTGGGTGAAAAGCGACTCTTGTGCCCCAGCCACAACCACTGGCCGTAGCCTGGGTTAAAATCAATTGCACACTGTCACATTGACAGACAAGAGAACAGAAATGGTGATACTTAAACTCACAAATTGAAGGTGTACCAGAAAGTAAATAATATATAGAAACAAAAGAGATGCCCAGTCTCAAGGATAGTGAACAGTTTACCAGGAAAAAGAAAGGAAGGAAAACACAGAGACCTCTCTTGGATTGAAATCTAAGAGAGTTCCCTAAAGGAACCTTGAAGAGACACTGAATAAGTGCCTGCTCTTAAAGTTGAAAATCTGAAATTTTTAGTTTCTTTTTGTTACCTCGAGACCAAGGGGGAGGTTAATCTGTCTTGGAAGCTGGTTAGTTTTCTTACAGAGAATGTGCAAAGTAGCCAGTTTTACTTTTCACTGTTGCTATTGGTGCGGTGGCTGAAATTAAAAAGTTACTGAAAGAGCATTTTCAAAAATTACCCTGTCTTATTTTGAACATATTATTAGGCGGACACCAACAAACAGACAAAAAACTACAATACAAACATTATAATATTATGTTTATAATATATAAACATTATTATAGACGAATAAAGCAAAAATGACAAGTGGTCAGGATAGAAAACACAAACTGAATTCAACAGACAGAAATTAGTCAGGTGCAGAGCTGTGCCTGACCCCCCAAATGCCTTCCCAGCCATGGGGTCGTGAAATTACATTTAACTTTTTCACTCACTCACTCATACAAAACTCAAAACATACAAAAGACACACAAACCAGAAACAGCATGGTTGACTGCAGAAACCACGACAACTCAATAAAAGACTGCAATTACCAGAACAGGACTAGTCTGCAAATCCGAACAGTCCAAAAGATTGCTAATATCAAAATAGTCTATTAAGGAGCTGCAAACGTAACAACACAGAAACAAACAACCCAAACCTATACCAGAGAGACAGGGGGACGTATCCCCTCTGTGTTGGGAACAGACTTTCACTGCGTCCAGCCAGTCTAGTTCCCCCATATTCTCTAGAGATCCAGACAGACTTACTGAATTAGAAAATTTAGGAACCTATGCCCAAAATCTACATGTCTGAGAGCTCCCGAGGCAGAGGGGGAAGTGTCCCTCCAAGGCCTACCCCTAGAGCTGTCAGCAGCAGTGGGCTCAGATAGGGGGTCCGATGAATCTCGCTGGAGCCTCCAAAATGTAATACCCCTAGACTTGAAAATATAGAGTCAGATTCCCCCTTAAGTGCAATCAATCAGAAATTTATTGAATCTGCGCAGGGGACTATCTTGAGAGACAGTTCCATCCCAGCAATGGGCAAGTTGCCTTATATAATTTTTTTGCAAGCATACTACAGAAGCAAAACATGGCAGGTTGGGGGAGTTACCACTTGGGTAGTCATGGATACAGCAATGGTTATAGTTATGTAACAATGATTAATATAGCCTTGGTTGACAATGGATATATCTCAAATCACAATGGTTATAGTTATGTAATCATGATTAATACAGCCTTGGTGGATTTTCAGCATTATTCTTCCACTGAGAACTTGGGGGTTTTTGTGAAATTGGGACTTCCCATGCTTCGACTCTTGGTGGGGCATGGGAACGGGCTGGGAAAGAGGGTGGAAGAATGGTAAAGGGTGGGGGGAATGGGCTAGGAGTGCTTTCAACATGATAATTATAGTTCAAAACAAAGTATCTAAAAATAATTGCTTCTTTTTTGGATATAGTACAAAATGTTTTTGTACTAGATAAAACATGGCCATTAAAAATGACCCCTATTCAAGACAAATGAAAGTGGGCTACACAACTCCTGAACACTTGGAAGCAAACCCAAAAGTAACTTTAGTAAGCCTCAGAGTCCCTTTTGGTTTATCTCCTGGGCTTCCAGTGGCCATGAAACAAAACTGGGAGGTGGAGTGGGAAAAGCCAGGGGGTGGTTTGAGTAAAAATTTCTTGTGATTTTGTAAACATAGCATGCTGAGCTGCCAGTTGTGAACACATCAAAATAAAAAGATGTTAGGGCTCGGCGCCTATAGCTCAACCGGCTAAGGCGCCAGCCACGTACACCTAAGGTGGCGGGTTCGAATCCCCAGCCCGGACCCGCCAAACAACAATGATGGCTGCAACCAAAAAATAGCCGGGCGTTGTGGCAGGCGCCTGTGGTCCCAGCTACTTGGGAGGCGGAGGCAGGAGACTCGCTTGAGCCCAGGAGTTGGAGGTTGCTGTGAGCTGTAATGCCATGGCACTCTGCCCAGGGGGACAGCTTGAGGCTCTGTCTCAAAAAAAAAAAAATAAAAAAAAAATAAATAAAAAGATGTTAGAGGAAACAAGTAGGCAAAAGCTTTTTAATACGCTCATGCTGTCACCACGTGTGTTACGTGCCTGGCCCAGGCCTGTGCAAGCCACCTTCCCTCACTTGCTCTCTCTTCCCTGGTATTAGAACCTGTTTCTGCCTCTGTTATGCCCACAGTCTCTTGGAAGCATTGTTTAATGGCAAGGGATGGTAACAAAGAGCATAGGTGTTAGTGTCAGCAAAACCCAGATTTAAACCCTGCCTATACCATTACTGAGCGGCTCACCAAACCTGATCCAATCTATCTGAATCAGGGATTTTCAACACACTGGTGTACTCTTAGAGGATCTTAGGTGTGCTGTGAAAAATTTTAAAGATAATTATTTTCTAAAGAAGTTCAAAGCACAGTAAGTATATTTTTTTACTCTTTTATCAACATAATTTAAGTGTGCTATGGAACTTTATAGATCAAGGATGCTGTGAGATGAAAAAGGTTGAAAAACATTGATGTAGATCAGCGGTTCTCAACCTGTGGGTCCTGACCCACATGAACTGTTTTAAAGAGCCCCGGCACTAGAAGGTTGAGAACTACTGATGTAGACAGTGCTATCCTGAGAGAAATATTCTAGATCTGCACTGTCCAATATGGTAGCCACCAGCCACTTCTGACTGATGAGCACTTGAAATGTGGGTAGCATGACTAAGGAACAGAATTTTTTTTTTTTTTTTTGAGACAAGAGTCTCATCAATCTCCCTGGGGTTGCGTGCCATGGCCTCATAGCTCATAGCAACCTCAAGCTCTTGGGCTCAAGTGATTTCTTGTCTCAGTTTCCTGAGTAGCTGGGACTACAGGTGCCTGCCACAACACCTGGCTATTTTTTAAAGACAGGATCTTGCTCTTGCTTGAACTCCTGAGCTCAAGCAGTCCACTCGCCCTCGACCTCCCTGAGTGCTGGGATTGCAGCCATGAGCAATGGCGCCCAGCCCAAGAACAGAATTTTAAATTATATTTAATTTTAATTAAATAGCCATGTCACTAATGGTGAACATATTACACAGAGCAAGTCTAGAAAATGGAGAAGTCCCCCTCACACCGAGGATCAGTGTGTGAGGATAATGAAAAAAGCTCATACTCAGGCTATACTATTAAACTATATTCTACCTTAAATGACTTTCAAAGAAGCATACTGAAACAGTACTCAAGTACATAATGTACTGATTTGGCTGGTCTTTGTACGCCTGGATGGGCTTGACAAAAACACTGATGCTGGTGCTACTTTTAGATGTAGGTATATAACTTTGACTTTTTAATGACTAAGGATACATCTGATAGCTGTGTGTGGTGGCTCATGCCTGTAGTCTTCCTAACACTCTGGGAGGCTAAGGCAGGAGGATCCCTTGAGCTCAGGAGTTTGAAATAAGCCTGAGCAAGAGCAAGACCCTTTACTAAAAATAGGAAAATTAGCTGTGGGTGGTGGTGCACATGTATAGTCCCAACTACTTGTAAGGCTGAGGCAGGCAGATCACTTGAACCCAAGAGTTTGTGGTGGCTGTGAACTAGGATGACCCTACTATACTCTAGACTGGGCAACAGAGTGAGACTGTCTCCAAAAAAAAGTTTGCTTCTTTTCTGCTTGTGTTTTGTCCTCACTGTATTGAACAAAACACCACTATTTGACATTTCCTTAATATGTTTCCAAATAGAAAATGTTTCTATTTTTCTTTTGCTAAATTAATTATATCATCGTGTACCAATTGCTTTAAACTAGAGAGACAACCTGTCTTCACAGGTTAATGATATATGAAGACATCCATTTTTAGAAACAAATCAAGAAGCACCAATTATATTTTACAGTGTTTATTATAGGAAAGTTTACTATTATAAAACATTAGTGGTTTTGGTCCATATCTCATTTTCCATTTAATTTTAAAACATACAACATTATTTACAAAGTAAATTGTAATTTTTATGGTTGTACATAATTTGTTTTTTCCCTGACCCTTGGAATGTTAGTTTTAAATAACTAACATTGTTTAGTTATTGAATGTTTTTTTAAATAACTAAAAAAATAAAAACATTGCAGATTAAATGTACAGATGAGTACATACCAACCAAGTAAATTACCACAGTAATTTAAAAGTCCTAATCTTTACTTCCCAAGGTTAAAATTCGTTAACATGAAGTCACTGAGGAAGACTCCAGGATTTCTCTGTCATCCACAATGAGAGTATGAATAATCCCTTCTTTCCGCTTTCCACTACTAACGGCCTTTATGTAACAATCATGGCTCCCAATACTGAAGTGAGTTTCAGTCCCATCATCTACAAACTCACCCTGGATAAACAAAAGGAGAAATTGGTGTTCTAGAAACATTTTTCTTTTTCTACAGCATTAATACCATCTACAAAGTACTGGGGTATAATGAAATAACATAGTAATTACATGTTAAGCTTTGCAAAATAACAGATGTTTGTCCATCTGTTATGAATAGAATGTTTCTTTTCTATAACCCTTACAATTCTTAAGAATCTTTAAGATTCAGTGGAAAAAACGTCATATACTTCATGATGATGTGTCTATATGTTTTCAAACATAAATGTAAACATGTATTAGTTATTTACAATATGCTAAGAACAGTTTGTATGTGTTATTTCATTGCATCCTCACAAGTAACCCTGATAAAAGTACTATTATTATCCCCATTTTACAGATAAGGAAATTGAGGAACAGACTATTTGCTAATGGCCCCATTCAATAAGGGATAGAATGTTCTTAATCACTATGAAAATATGATTCCTCAGGATATAAGGTGGCTTACAATAAAATACAGATATCCTAAAACTGAACACCACTAAATCTAGACCTTCTCTGTCCAACAGTGAAGCCACTAGCCACATGTGGCTACTGAGCACTTGAAATGTGACTAATCTGAAATGATCTAAGCTGTGTAAGTGTAAAATACACACTAGAAGACAGTTTGAAACAAACAGTGCAAAGTAACTTTCTATACGGATTACGTGTTAAATGATATAATGTTTGTGATACATTGATTTAAATCAAATATATTATTGAAATTAACTTCACCTTAAAAAATTTTTACTGTAGTTTCTAGAAAGTTAACAATTACATATGTGGCTCATGCACATATTTCTACTGAACAATAAAGTATAAAGTCAAGAGCCAAGTAAAGTACAGAGAAGGAAGGAAGAATAGGCTTAGAGGATAAAAATGAATTATGCCAGAAAGCAAGGAAACCATAGACATATAACTTGACTAAGAGTTCCCTGGTAGCCAAAGCAGACAGTAAAAGTCCCATAGCTAACATCTAACCAAAGGGAAAGAAGCTTTTCCTTAGCTCTGGGAAGAATGTGGCAGTGGCTCTTTATGGAAGGGGACTGGATATTATCCTAAGTATGTCCTTGAATCCTTTTTTAAACTGAGCCTTGAAAAAAAGACTTTGGAGAGTATGACAAGGGTTAGGTAATACAATCCCTGGCAATCTTGGCAATTGAACAAATACATAATTTTGGTCATGATGTGTTGAGATTAAAAGAAAAAGGAGAAAATAAGCTGTAACTCAGGCAGCAAGATCAATTTGTTGCAGGTGTGTACAGTACTAGGGAAGGCTGCCCCAGTGAGGAACTGCGCAAATTGCCCGGCAAACTGGGTCATAGTTACAATGAGGAGATAACTGGGTTCATAAAAAGCTATTTTCCAAACACTTGTGGTTTTCTGTCAATTACTTAAACATGTGGATGAACATCATATTTACCTTGCTTATTTACAACAACTTTTTTCATACCATAAAGCAACATTCTCTTTACTCATGGGAGGAAATGTAATTCAACAATGCTGACTCTCCATCTAGAGAATTCCAGGGTAGGAAAGACCAGCAGGGATGGTGTTGGGCACACAATAGGTACCTGACCCATACTAATGGTGCCTGATGCTGTATTAAAGGAAGCCATAAAATACTGAATAGATTGCGAAGCCTCTCTTCATAAATGAAGTCTAGGTCAGTAAATTTAACCCAGAAAACAGTTCAAGCAATGAGGATCAATTTTGAGTGAATTCAGGTTCAACTTTCCAGGACTCAGAAACAAAAAATCGTTCATCTTTAGAACCTTTCCTTGCTAACTTTGGCACTCCTCAGAAATAGCTACAAGATCAAGTAGGTTCTGGATGGTTTGTGAATTTATTCACAGACCTCCTTTCCTCCAAGAGTGGGGTAGTCTCTTTCTTCTGGCCTTGGCACTACTGGACTAGAAATTCCACTTGTCTTCTGGGGTTCATGACAGTGCCCTTCGTAACTGTCTACCTTCATGTCATCTGATATTGTACTACTTCTTTCTTAAAAACCTCACTTTTAGAATATCATCTGGGGCTGGGTGCCAGGGCTCATGCCTGCAATCCTAGCACTCTAGGTGGGAGGATCCCTTGAGTTCAGAAATTTGAGAATGGTCTGAGCAATAGCAAGACCCTATCTCTACTAAAACTGAAAAAAATTAGCCAGGTATGGTGGTGCACACCTGTAGTCCCATCTACTAGGGAGGCTAAGGCAGGATGATCACTTGAGCCCAGGAGTTTGGGGTTGCAGCGAGCTATGATGATGCCACTGTACTCTACCTGAGGTGACAGACCAAGACTCTGTCTCAAAAAAAAGTATTGTTTGCTTTGGCTGTATGGTATAAAGTATTCCTACTCAAAGTGTGATCTGTGGACCAGCAGCACTGCAGAACCTAGGAAAATATTAGAATTTGCATGTTGGGCAGTGCCTATGGCTCAGTGGGTAGGGCGCCAGCTCCATATACTGAGGGTGGTAGGTTCAAACTGCAACAAAAAAATATCCCAGCATTGTGGCCAGTGCCTGTAGTCCCAGCTACTTGGGAGGCTGAGGCAAGAGAATCACCTAAGTCCAGGAGTTGGAGGTTGCTGTGAGCTGTGACACCACAGTACTCTACCGAGGGCATTAAAGTGAGACTCTGTCTCTAAATAAAATAAAAAAAAGAAGAATTTGCATATTAACCAGACCAAGGAGATTTCTATGCATTCAGTTTGAGAAGCGGTAGTACATAAAAGTACCACTTAACAGATAAATACAGGAAAAATGCCAACCTTTGGTGGAAGAAGTTTTTCTTTTTCTTAAGAGACAGGATCTTGCTATGTTGCTCAATCTGGTCTTAAACTCCTGTGCTCAAATAATCCTCCCTCTTCAGCCACCTAAGTAGCTAGGACTACAGGCTGCCCAGCTCGGTGAACTTTTTAACTTGGGACAGATAGAACCTGGTCCAAGAGAGGTGGAGTGTAAGGTTTATGCCAGCTCAAAACATTTTCCAAACTCTCACTGCTCTAGGGCCTGTCTTGGAAAAGTTTTCAGAATTTGGAATGAGGAGTATTTAAACTATTTTTTGTTTTTTTACCAAGAGGACCTTGGTTAATTATAAAATCTCTATAATTAGGAAAGGCAGCAACACTTTTTTTGGGGGGTGGTAGAGGCAGTCTCACTTTGTCTCCCTCGGTAGAGTGCCATGGCGTCACACCGCTCACAGCAACCTCCAACTCCTGGGCTTAGGTGATTCTCCTGCCTCAGCCTCCCGAGTAGCTGGGACTACAGGCACCTGCCACAATGCCCAGCTATTTTTTTGTTGCAATTTGGCCAGGGCCAGGTTTGAACCCACCACCCTTAGTATATGGGGCCGGCACCCTACCTACTGAGCCACAGGTGTTGCCTGGCAGCAACATGTAAATAGTAACTTATACATTAGCACTGAGGGTAGTCAAAAAAGTTCAACTTACTGCTGTCTCCATTTTTTTACCATTGCACCATACGTCCATAGTGTCTTTTTCTGTAAAAGTAACAAAATTTGAAAAGTTATAATTCTGTGATTTAAAGGTAAAGTTAACTTTACATATTTTTTATTTTAAGAAAAGTTTGATACTGGCTTTCTGAAACTCCATTAATATTCTAAAACTCAATACTTTTTCTTGGCTTTGAAACTCTCCTCAAGTTTGATACATTTGTATTTATTTTTGTTCACAAACCAAAGTGAAATAAAACAATCTTGTAATATGTTTTATGGCCCGACATGAACTGATGAAGTCCTGCTAACCAAAATAAATACCTAAGGACAATCTTTAAAGGAGGATGCATCTAAATAAATGTGAGGAGGGACCTTCCCACAATGTCCTTTAATATCAGTGACCAGATGATTCTCCCTGTCTCCCACACTGACCCAACTGGATGAAGGTACAAAGAAACCACCACGAAAAGCTGCCACAGGGTTTATACAGGACAGACAGTACATCAGGTTTAGACATTTAGCCTTCAGTTTCTTACTGGGTGGCACAATAATATCGATTCCTTTTTATGATGGTTTTACTTTGTAGAAAAAGTATTTGATCATAAGAAAAAAATAAGCATAGCTGGTAGACTGCACAATGTTCAACAATAGGATATAAAATGCTGCCACAACCTATTTGTGCATCAGTTTACCTGCCAGCTCACCTATGTGATGAGTCCTCATAGCCCCTATGAATGTTAGTGTCCTGAGGAGTAGCAGGAGAGAAGGCTGCACTCATTAAGAAGCCAGATGAGATTTTTTTTTTTTTTTTTTGTGACAGAGTCTCAAGCTGTCATCCTGGGTAGTGTGTCGTGGTGTCACAGCTCATAGCAATCTCACACTCTTGGGCTTAAGTGATTCTCTTGCCTCAGCCTCCCAAGTAGCTGGGACTACAGGTGCCTGCCACAACACCT